ATAATTTTATACGCGGTATCTTCTTCGCATACAAATTCCAACTGCTTATTTGAAATAGCACTGTATATATAATTAATTGCTTTTAAGTCTTTTTCTTCCCAGTCATCTCTATCTGTAGCTACCTTTTCTCTTTCAACCACTTCATGACACTTTTTGAGTTTCAAGTACATCATTATTCGTTTTTTCCACATACCGTAGTCTTCACCATCAAATACTGGAATTGTTATATCACAATTACCTGCCATTTATTCTTCGTACTTCTCGAACGTTCCTTCGTGTTCAGAATTTTYACGCACAGGCTTGGTTTCTTTCTTGACTACCGGCTTATCGGTTTCTTCCATACAACCACGTGTTTTACAGTCCGGAATCTTAATCCATTCACAACACAGCTCCATCGCAATTCTTCCACAAAACTTTTAGCAACCACGCTCTGCTACCATGTTAAGGAAAACAGGAGGGAATATATATGAAGGCTAACCATTATATGTACCAGTGATTTTATTAACTCTCTTTATTATAAAAAAACTAACGAAGCGTGAGTGTAACCAGCGATAGCGGAACTCCTACAGCGCCACCACATCGTCGCGCGTCTTTCTCTCGTACGACACTCTCATACATACTAGGTGGGGAGTCGTACATGTGTGTGTGGAATATCCACGGTCCCAGATATGTACAATATACAATGTATATTCTTAACAATTCTGATAAACCCGCTATTTTACTTTGGCAAATAACATCGTCTTCGTCAGTTACAGAAATGAAATTTCCTATCTGTTGAGGAAATGAGTGGTCTAAATGAGAAGAACGCCGAGCATTTGCAGTGAGTGGTCAGATTTATTAAAAATGCCTACGAGTACACCGCGTGTCGGTTAAGATTTAAACTGAGTGGCCGTTGAACGGACTACGTTCCGAACTTTCACTGATCATGTTATACTGAGTGGACTTGAGACGGCGTGATTATATTAATCACTTTTGAATCGAACGATGAAGATTATATTAATCCCACCGAACCTATGACTTTGTGAGAAGACGTAGACAAAGCCGAGAAAACACGTGTGAATGGAACGAGTCGACGTGAACTAAATATGAGAAAACGCGTGTTGTATATGCGATGACAAAGAGATGACTGCCTGAGAAGCCGGCGTCACGGCGCTTCTTCACCGCCGAGATGAGTTATGGCGAGTCTGCATTTAGCGACAACTGTAGCGAGTTCTGATTGGGCAAATTAATTCCCAAACACTATCATATTACTTAATATAGCAGGTTTGTCACCCTAAAAAAATTTTAATAAATAATAATACGTTACATAATAAAAGAAAAAATGATATTTTTTTTAGTTATTTTTTGTCAGAAAACTTACTTTAAAAATTGGTTTCCATTGTTGTTCAAAAACACCTATTGCATCACTACGTCCAACAACAAGACCATTTTTTTCAACACCAAGATATTTACCATAACCGGATTTTAACGCTATTAAATTGTCGCTTATACAAAGTGCTGTTAAGATTTCTTCGGGACTAGGGCCTTCGCCATTTGCGTGAGGAGCACTAAGCGTAAAAAGCACATTATCAAGAGTTCTTATGTAGGTTTGTTTTTCAAACTCAATGGCTACTGTACCATATATTTCTTTGATACTATTAGTCTTCCCCCAACCACCTATTAAAAAAGAAATGATCTTTTTAAATATACCTTTATCCCTTGGATATAATAACAACTTATTGGGGTCTTGAGTAGGTTCTCGCTGTTAAAAAAAATAAAAACTTTATTTAAAATATAAGGAACAAAAACGTTTTATTGAAAGTATTGCCCATCCCTTGAGACTACTTTCTTCCATCTTTCTGGCAGTATATGAATTCCGTATTGGAAAAATGACATGTCTTTTGAGGCTATCCAAGAATCGACCCATTTTTTAGCTTCTTGTTAAGAATGAAAACGCTGCTAAGTCATGCTAACGTCAGCTAAGCCACGTGTCATCGAACGGAATAAGTAAAAATCAGAAGGGGCTATGTCAGGTGAATTCGGCGGGTGGGGTAGAACTTCTCATCGTGCGTTTCCAGGTTGGTTTTCACTGGTTTTGCAACATGAGGCCGGGCGTTGTCATGTAACAAAATCACTTTGTCGTGTCTCTTCTCGTATAGCGGCCGTTTTTCTTTTAGGGCTCGACTCTAACGCATCAATTGAAGTCAATAGTGATCCCCCGTGATAGTCTTATTCAGTTTGAGCAGCTCATAATTAATTACACCCTGCTGATCCCAACAAATACAGAGAAGAAGCTTCGAACCATGGATATTTGGTTTTGCAGACGATGTTGATGCATTAGCAGGCTCACTCCATGATTTTCTACGCTTTGGATTATCATAGTGTATCTATATTTCATCGCCAGTCACGATACGGGGCAACAAATCTTTTCTTTTCTGCCGTTGAAGCAGTAGTTCACACGTAAAAAACGCCGTACGATGTCTCTTGGCTTCAATTCAATATGGCACCCAATGTCCTTGCTTCTGGATCATTCCTAACATTTTTAAACGTTTTAAAACAGTTAACTCATCAACTTGTAATGTTTGTTTAAGTTCTGCTAGCGTCTGAGATCGGTCTTCATCGAGTAATTCCTCCAATTCTCTGTCTTGACATTTTTTTGGTACGCTAGAACGTTCTTTATCCTCAAGATCAATGTCATTATCTTTGAAGCGTCGAAACCAGTCTCTGCATGTAGTATCTGACAGAGCATTGTCACCATAAGTCTCAATAAGAATTCTATGCGCTTCAGCTGCCGATTTCTTTTGAACAAAGTAGTGCAAAAAAATTCCCCGCAAATACACTTTAGTTGGCACAAAAGTAGACATTTTCGAAACTAATAAAAAATTACTTTGTTTACACTACAGTTAACTTTTATGCAATGAAATTTTAGGTTAGACACAGTACTTCCTTGCAAGTGCGTTACCATTCAAAATTTCAAGCATGGAGTACTGTTATTGCCATCTTTGATGAAACAGCGAGAACTTATTCAAGGTTCTAATAGTGACAATAATAATTCAAAACATAATAAACAAATAAAAAATAAATCCCTGTGTTGGTCCCGGGGTAGAATAGACCCAAGGTATTTCCTGCCTGTCGTAAAAGGCGACTAAATGGGAATCTGGTGATGTGAATGATCAGGGATCCGATAAACGGGCAACCCTGAAAAGCGAATAGCCAGAGTCTTTATAAACGGGATATTCTGGAAAGCGAATGGTTGGGATCCTTATAAACGGGTTCTCCCAGAGTGAATGAACCAGTAGGCGTCGCTAATACGGACACACACAAACATTCCCTCAGGGGCCGTGCAACGTTCCAGCACGGCACGGGAACCGTGACTCCGAGGAAACCGACGCTACACGGAACAAAACAATCGATGATATGCACAAAAAAAAACATAGATATACTTCAGGATGTATAGGGTACCCTATAAAGGGACAATCCACCCTGGGTTTCGACCGGAAAAAAGATCCAATGGCCCATGGCAGCGGCGAGGATTCTGAGGGCCGCAGTAAGTGCAAAAATTCGACGCCGAATAAAGCGAAACAAAAGACGGATAAAAAAGACGAAACAACAGGACAGATACTCTTAGACCCAACGAAACGGGACAGAACGGTGAGCGTATCAAGCGTAGGTAGCGCATYGAGCCTCACCTCTATCACCGACAACGACGACAGAAAGACGAAATCAAAAACGGGACAGGCAAGACAACCAAGATTGGACGTTACAGCGCTACAAAAACGAGACCTGACGGAACTGCTGACGATTATACAAACGACAGCAACAATGATGGCAGAGGCAGCAGCCATCCAAAAGAACATGAACATAACCATCAAGACAAGCATCAAGACGATCATCTGGAGACGAGGAGTGCAGGAAGCGGGCCGGACGACGGACAGTGTAATCCAGGGAAACCTGAACTGAAGCAGGACAGCTGACATGCTACTACCCCAGATAGCGGACRAACTGGACGCTGACATACTTATATTATGTGAGACATACAGAAAACGGACAACACGGACGTGGTTCACAAACGACGACGAGACAGTAGCTATCTGGGTAAGGGGCGCTGCCCGTTCCCGGATAACCGACTGTGGCGCGGGGGAAGACTATGTCTGGGTCAAAGTGGGAACTGTCACTTACGTCAGTGTCTACCTGACCAAAACTGTGACGCAGCGGAGTTCGGGAGAAAAGTAGCGGCCCTCGAGGACGGGATCAGGGAACTGCCTGATGGTTGCTGGAGACTTCAACTCGAGAGCGAACGAGTGGAGCATAACAGCGACGAACAAACGAGGACGGCTGCTTCTGGAGATGGCCTCAAGGCTAGACCTAGAAATAGCAAACACAGGAAACACGCCGACATACAGACGACCGGGATACGGTAACTCTATCCCAGACGTGACAATGACCTCAGACAGACTGCTGGCACAAGTGAGGCAATGGCAGGTGATCGAAGACTATACGGTCAGCGACGACCAGTATATCGCCTTCGAGGTCACAAGAAAGACAGCAATGGTACAGAAAAGACAACGATAACCTCCACGGTGGAATACAAACAGATCGACATACAAAGGCTTTCGGAGGAACTGGCGGCAACGCCGGCCCCGATCGCTAACGTTCCCCCGGATCTGACCGGCCGGATCAGGGCGGAAAAAACTTACAGACAAGATGGCGAAACTAACGGAGCGGCTGTGTGAAAGAACGATGCCAAGAAAACACCTCAGACGAAACAGACAGCCACAATACTGGTGGACGGACGACATCGCCGAACTGCGGAGGGGTTGCCTCGCAGCACGCAGAAGGGTGACAAGAGCTAAGGGCAGGCCTGAGAGGGAAGCTCTCCAGGCCAAGTACAGGACAGAACGGAAAAGACTGACAAACGCCATACAAGACAGTAAGACAAAGTGCTGGAGGACGCTCTGCGAGGAGGTGGACCACGACCCGTGAGGTGCCGGTTACAAGATAGTGACCGGCAAACTAGGGGCTCGGAAACCACCTGTACTTAAAGATGATGAATCCATGCGATGCATTGTGGACGGACTCTTTCCGACACACCAGCTGCGAACAGAAACAACAGACGAAGACGGGACAGCAGCTGTTGACGCCTTCACGGCTAAGGAGCTCTTCAGAGCGACTAAAGCGGTGAAGGTTGGCAAGGTGCCGGGGCCAGATGGTGTACCGGGAGAGGTTGTTCGGCTAATGGTCAAAGAGAGGCCGGACATCTTTCTTGATCTGTACAACATCTGCCTAAAGACAGGAACCTTCAGCGACCGATAGAAGGTTGCAAGGCTGGTCCTCATCCCTAAGAGTAAGGATGACCCCAACACGTTGTCGGCCTACCGGCCGCTGAGCCTACTGGACACAACGGGGAAACTTTACGAACAGCTACTCAGACAAAGACTTACAGGGACGATAGAAGCTGGCGGAGGCCTCTCAGACCGCCAGTCCGGCTTGCGGAAGGGTGGTCAGTCGACTGTTGGTGCGATCCAACCGGTCCGGGAAACAGACAAATACTGCCACGCAGCGTGACCCATCGTGCTGCTGGCGACACTAGACGTTAGGAATGCCTTCAACTGGGCCAGGTGTGTGGATATCCTGCCAGCGCTTAAAAATGCTTTCAGGGTTCCACCGTACTTGCTCCGGGTACTAGCGCCCCCTGGATGAAAGTGTGTAGGACGTCTCCACGTCGCTCCGTGTTTTACCAGTGGAAACTTGTGCAATATTGCTTTTTCTAATTATAAATTTGTGATTAGTAAAAAGTGCAAAAAATTTGGAACAAACCAATATATAAATTTATATTGGTGAAGGCTGTATAAAAAAAACATTAAACGAAAACTTACTCTCGTGTTCTTAGACTAGAAAGCAGCCATATTGGAAAAGTGTTCGGGCGGTAGTGCCGAAGTTTTTTTTCGTGCGAGTGGTGCGCCGCCTTGCGCCGCAGCATTAAACTACTTTGACGAAGCCTTGGACGCACCAATCGCTGAGCGTCTTGTGCCATCGAAAATGAGTAAGCTAATAAGTGACTTGGATTTTCCAGTGCTTAAAAATAAATCTGTGGAAGAAATGGATGTATGTGATATCAATACTCAGAGCAAAGACAAAGTGAAAAAGAGAAAGGACAGAAGTGACGAGGAGATTTATGAGGAAATAAGCGTTAAAAAAGAAAAGAAAAAGTGTATAGTAACAGGGTCCTCAGAAAAGATGTCACCTTTAAGTGACATAGAGAAGGAGATAAAAAGCTACAAGCGGTTTGAAAGAGATCTGAGAAATATGAAGTTAGAGGAGATAGAGAATGAAGATCTTAAGGAAGTTAAAATTAAATTCTCCGAAATGTTCAGGATGATAACTTTCCTTAAAGAGGAAAACGATACTCTAAACAAAACCGGTCAGATACAGGCTCCATCGACGATAAGCTTAAAAAATTAGAGGAGGCAATCTGTGTGGCTACAATCAGTAGTATTAATCAGTTAAAAAATAACTCAAAAAGTACAAAAACCACAATTAGTTATGCTGACAGATTGAAAATTCCTGCTGTCGCAAAAAGAAATATTAACTCTACTGACAATAAGCGGCACGTAGTAGCGATTTATCTAAGCACTGGAAAAAATATTAAGTCAAGCGACGAAACTAAAACTACTGTCATGAGTTGCATGGCTCCTACCAAAGAAAAATTAAAGACCTGTGCCGTCAAGAAAATTTCTAATAATGGAATATTAATTGAGACAAAAACAAGAGAAGATCTAGAGCGTGTTCTTAAATCTGAGAAGTTGCAAGCAGCAGGCCTAAATACTGGAGAACCCAGTAAGAAAAAACTTATGCTAATTGTCTACAACGTGCCAAAAGAAATGAACGACAAGGAGTTTGCCCAAGCGCTCAGGAATCAGAATATGG